GACTGCAGGGGCCCATTGGGTCATCAGGGTCACCTCGGGTAGCCAGGGACACAGACAAATGAAACTTCGATATCAAGTTTCTTTTGAGTAAAAGACGTTTTATCCAGTGTTTGAAAAAAAAAATATTCCGGGGCCTAAAGGGCCCCATCGCATTCGCGCCTTCGGTGCTCAAGAGAAGGGGGGCATGATCTCCTTGGCTACGCCCCTGCTTCCGATCGCACAAGTCCTGGTCCAATAAAGAATGAAGAGTCGGAAGGTTAGCTTACCATAGCCGCGTACGGCCAGTCCCCTTCACTGACTTCGGCTGACGACGGCCTGCCAAAAAACTGCAACCATACCCGCCAAGAGGTTAACCCGCGCCGGGCCGGGGGTGTTTGAACACCCCCTGAGGTTTTTCGCAGATATCTCAAAAACGGCGGTGCGGAGCGCCGCCGTTTTTGGCGCACCTGTTTGTGCATCTTTTCCGCACATGTTGTGAAAATTTTAGCCCTAGGTCGCCCTAGGTCAGGTCACCAGGTCACGCCAAGTGAGCTCACCTCAGAAAAATAAGCATGCTTGTCATATCTACAACGATTGATCGATTGCCTTGAAACCTTCAGCGATTGATTAGAGCAACATTATCTATAAATTATATCTCGGAATTTTGACATCGGTGACCTAAGGTCAGGTCAATTTTGCGGCCTCTCCATTATAAGTCAATGGGATAAAATTAAAAAGCGTCTCTTTTGCACAAACGCTATTCTAGACACTCTCAAATATCGAGATTCGAGATGTAGGTAAGATTGACACACTGAACCGGAAAATGGCAACTGTGACCTTTATGTCCCCGAGGTCATCTCAGGTCACGAACAGAATCTAACAGTTTTTCGCTAATAACTTCTGATAGAGGCGTTCTAGAGCGCTGAAAATGCCTTAGATGTGTTCGGCTCGACGTTGCGGATCGACTGATATGCAACATGACCTTTTTCGGCCAGGTCATGACCTTAACCTGAGGTCAAATTTTCAAGTTGACCTTTCAAGGTCAAATTATAGTTCATTCGACACGTCTCGACGAGAGGAACACGATGCTGGCAAAAGTAATGTCATGGCTCTTTTGAGTCAAAAGTTGTTGCCGAAAAAAACGCTTTTCGTTAAAACGGCTATTTTTGGAGTTTTTGCCCTCTGGAGGCTAAACCATTGACCTGAGGCCAAATCTGAGAACATTACTCAGAAAGGGCTGTAAAAGGGCTATCGAATGCGCTTTTCTGCGGCGCTGTAGCTCTATCGGTTTCCGAGATAGCCGTTGGCAGTTTCCAAAATGTTGAAATAGTCCATTTTACCTTTGGTGACCTCTGGTGAGCTGACCTTTGACCTGACCCAAAAAAAATGACCGAAGTGTTTTCGTCCTTATTTTGGACGTTCTTTCGATTGCCGCTTACCGCGTGTCACTACATGACCCAGGAGCCGAGTTAGAAGGGGGGGGGTGTTCAGACACCCCCCGGCACGGCGCGGAAACTCAGAGCACCGGCCCGGCGCGGGTTAACCCTCGCATGTGTGCGGCGTTTTCCAGCTCTTCTAATGTGTAGGGGGGGGGGGGGGGTCGGTTGGACCCCCCCCTTGCCGTTTGGCCCCTGATCGAGCTAGAGCTTCGCGGAAAAAACGAGCGTGTTGCCCGTGACGAGAGGAAGCCGATGATACCCAATTTTAAGGTCCCAGGTCATTAGTTGACCTTCCAGGTCAGGTCAATGACCCAAAGTCGGGAAAATCGGGACCTATTAGAAAGTCGTTAAGTGTGGCTGCTAAGGGGTTTTTCGGGGTGCTGATCACGAATATCGTGTTAGTTTTGATCACAGATGATGTCTTTAAGCATTTAGACCAAGTCGGGTCAGGTCAGGTCAGGTCAACCAGTAGGCGTCGTGACGGGTATTCGTAGTACGTGTCAACCGCCTCTGACAGCTTCGTAACATGTTACGAAGGCACCAAAACTACTTCGTAAATGTTCAAATGGTTGCTAAATTCGAATTCAGCTCCAAAAACTAGCCTAGTAACATGTAAAACTCGAAAAAGTGAACCGAGGTCACCCGAGGTCACCAAAGGTCAATGACCTGACCTGACCTTCAGGTGACCTTGACACCCACCCTAATGCATGGGAGCAACATCAAATCACATGTTTGAACGTTTGAAACCACGAAAAGCTTGCAAACACGCAGCTAATGCGAGCCGACGTACGCCAAATCGCGATTTCGGCCAAACATGGTCTCGGAAAAGAGGTCACAGGTCAAAGGTCATTTGGGTCAGGGTCATGAAATTTTCAGGGTAGGTGTAAAATTGATCAATGCGAGGGTACTGAAAGTTTCGTCGCGATCGGCCGCTTTTTACGCGAGTTATCGCGAAAAACCATGGGGGGGGGTCCATCCGACCCCCCTACACATGCGAGGGTTAAAAAACATCGAGCGCCCGTCGCGCTTCGAACCCTTTTTTAACCGGGACATGTGCCCCGTGCTCTCTCCACACGGAGTCCAACGCTCTAACAACTGAGCTAAGGGACCGGTTTTTGAAGTTATTATTTTGTTTTTAGGGGGAAGCCGGGGAAGCCCGGCATAGCAAGCTCTTTTTCATTTTTGTTACATACCATACGTGCTGTATAAAATGTTGATATCCTGTTAGCTAGCTAAGTTCATTGGTCGTGTCTTCCCAAATATTCGGTTTCGTGGAATAAGTATAAGTTTGAGAAAATCGAGTTTTAAAAAAGTGTTGATTTTTCTGGGGTAAGCCCGGCATAGGGGTAACGCCGGCCACCTCCCCAGCGCTTTACAACGAGTCGATGAAACCATTATGTGTCTTCCAAATATTAACGGAAAGTGAAACATTAAGGTACTGATTAGCTCTGGACATCTTAGAGTTTATGTCACTACTGGTATTTTAGCTATCGTCTACCACATATACAGTATAGGTCGATGAAAAAAAGCAAAATTGACAAAAAATGTGTATTTCAAAATTCCTCAAAATTTATTTTTCTTTTTACCTTAATGCATCATATTGCATATCATTCGATTCGGCTGATGAAGAAGAACACAACGACACCATTTTTGAAGCTCTAGCTTCATTGTCTGTCGCGTTATCTGCAAAAACGTAGTTTGACCCTAGTTGACCTTAAGTGGCATGACTGGCTTTGTCTATGATAACATGGTTATTTTCGAAATTTATCTTTGATCTAGGTGTAAACCAAACCTGCTCAGTACCTATTATCTCATGGAAAACAGTGGTTTAGTGGCATTGCTCTCGGTTGGGGGTAAGCTTGGCCACTCGCCCGGGGTTACCCCAATGTGCTAATTTTTATTTTAGAACAGCGATGTTCGAAAAAAATGTCATACTTAAGAAAGCCTGCCTCGTCACCTCTCACTACAAACACTTAAACGGTCCTTATATAACATTCGTATAAATATTAGGACTTTATGGTATAACACTAACAGTGCAACATATCTTACTTTTTAGCTAAAAACCCTTAAAATAAAAATATCATTTTTGCTCTATAACTTTAACAATATGCATTTTTTGTTAGCCTTAACTTTTTTTGCTGGCGTTACCTTAGCTGCCACGCTGAAAGGACAAACAGTTGAGCATTTTATTGTGAATAATTTAGCCGGAAACGGGGTGGCCGGGCTTCCCCCGCGCCCGGGCTTCCCCCGGCTTCCCCTAGTCCCTGGCGATCTGCCGGCCGGGGCCGTGTGCAGCCTGCTGCCTGCTGGATTTGACCAAGTGCTTTGATGTGATAGACCACTCAAAACTCCTCTCAAAATTATATCTTCATGGCATTGATACTTCTTGGTTCTCGGCTTATTTATCAAACCACACCCAGAGCGTCAGCTTCACTGACGCCCGGGGCAGAGTTCAGACCCCCACCCCGCTGCCCAACAGCATAGGCGTGTTTCAGGGATCATCTCTCGGTCCTTTGCTCTACTGCATTTTTGCGAACGATCTCAGCCTGGAATCTTGCTGGAGATGCTACAGTTATCCAATATGCGGACGACACCCAAATTCTTGTCAGCGGCAAAAAAATCTGAAATCAATCAAGTCTTTCTCCGCATGGAAAATGCTCTTTCTTCTCTTGACACCTGGTTTAGAGCCATGGGCTCAAAGTGAATGCCGCCAAAACACAATTGATGCTGTTGGGAAGCCCACAAAATCTGCGTACTTTAAACAACGTCACAGTTACCTATCGCGAACACGTTCTGAGACCCCAACCCGAGGCAAAAAACTTAGGGTTTGTATTTCGATCCTTCATTGAGCTGGGATCGCCATGTCTCCATCATTACTAGCCGCTGCTTTGGAGCTTTGACTGGTCTGTCGCATCTGTGGGGGCACCTGCCCATGGCTGTGCTCTCCGCGCTGATCTATGCCCTGGTCATCTCTCAGTTACGGCACTGCATCTCGGTTTATGGAAATTGCACAAAGAGTAACAATTCTCGGATTCAAAAAGTTATTAACTATCCCGCTAAAATGCTTTATGGCCGTAGAAAATACGACCATGTTTCAGATTTCCTCAAAAGACTGTGCTGGCTCAGCGCGGAGAGCATGGCCTCCTACCACACCTTATGCACACATCATAAAGTGCGCGGCGCTCTGGCGAGCCCGAGCAGCTGGCAGCTGGACTGGCCACTGTAACTGAGGCGCGCTCGGCAACACCTGCCGCGCGTGAGCGTACTACGCGGCAGGACAATCTACTGTCAGTGCCCCGGTCTAGGACTGAGATGGGCCGCCGCCGCTTTACCTGCCGAGGGTCAGCGTTATATAACGATCTGCCGCGCGACCTTGTCCAGCTGCCGGTGCCGCCGTTCGGTCTCCACCTCAAGCGTCATCTTAGCCATTTACCTCCAGACTGACGAACAGAGTGTCCGGGCATACATGTGGGTGTGTGCGTTTGTGAGTGTGTATGCTCACTCGAGTGTGCTTGGATATGTGTTTTTATGTTTTACATGTTTTTAAGACTTGACAAGAGATGGTAATAGCCATCATTAGCCATGGATTATCTCAATACAAGTATGAGTATGAGTATGAGCGGTGTTCAATAAGACGGTTCAATAAGTTCAATCCACCGACATCTGCTGAGCGTCATTTCACTTTCTTCAGGTCCCGGGTGCCGGGCTGCTTCAGTTGGGTCGGCGGCGTCTACACCAGACACGTCAACACATTCTAGATCTTCAAGCGGAAGCCACAACAACCACATCATCGTATCACACGTAAATATAAATTCCATCACATCTCGCTGCCGACTTGACGAGCTATCCTACTTTTCCTCTCTTCACGAGATCGACATACTGGGACTTTCTGAGACAAAGCTTGACGACACAGTACACCCTTCTCTTTACACCCTTGACAACTTTCATGACCCATTAACTAAACATAGGAATAGAAATGGGGGAGGGGTGGCTATGTACGTTCGCAGTAATATTCCGGTTAAACGACTCTTTCATCTCGAACATCACGACTATGAATGGATTTGGTGTCTGATAAAATTAGGTAAATTTAGTGTAATAGTGTGCACAGTATACCTTCCTCCGAATATGACCGCACCACAGCATACTAATTTCTTAGAAAACTTAAACGAATCCATAACCCTAGCTCAAGTCCACTCACCAGACAATATTGTTATTTTGGGAGATTTTAATGCTGGAAACACATATCTCAACTCAGACTTATTTAACCATAGCCCCGTAACACCATTTGAAATTACCCTACAGGATGAACTTTATTCACTCAACCTCAAGCAGCTCATTAATCAACCCACACGTTATGCAGACACCAGTGTTACCAATTTACGCGATCTTCTTATAGTATCAAACCCAGAAATGGTCCTTGACAGTGGTACACTTCCTCCTTTTTCAAAAATTGATCATTTACCAATATTTGCCTGTCTTAACATAAGTCGCCCCTCCAGCGTAACATATTCCATTAAACTATGGGACTACAGACATATGGACGCAGACAAACTGACACGACTTTTGATGGACACTGACTGGGACAGACTTTTGGACTGTGACTTGGACGACGCAGCATATAACTTGACTGACGCTCTATTAACTGCAGCCAAAGCAGCCATTCCAAGTCGGAAAATTACAATAAAATCTCACGACAAACCATGGCTTACCATTGAACTTAAACGAGAAATACGCAAGCGGAATAGGCTTTTCAACATAGCAAAAAGACGTAACACGGACGATGACTGGGAACGATGGAGACGACAGCGAAACAAGACCACAGAGACAAACCAAAGACTTAAAAATAGACACATACAAAACCAAATTGACAAGCTTCTTGACCATAAAAAGGACCCACGATCATATTACAAAATTTTAAACAGTATTATCGGAAAAAGGACTCATCGTAGCATGCCACCGCTTATAAATCAAGACGGCATACCAATCTCAGACGACTTTGACAAAGCGACAATCTTAAATGACCACTTTGCATCCCAGACTCGACTAGACACACACAACTTGCAAATGCCTGAAATCCCTATTCCTGTTCCCCCTATTCCTCCGCTAACGGATGTCCAAGTCACCGAGCCCGAAGTTCTCAAAATTCTAAATTCCTTAGACATCAACAAGGCAACAGGCCCGGACAAAATTCCTAACAAATTATTAAAAATGTGTGCACTTTTACTTGCTGAACCTCTGTCCAAACTCTTTAACAAATCACTTCAACTAGGAAGGTTCCCCTCACTTTGGAAAAAAGCCTGTGTCACTCCAATCTTCAAGCAAAAGGGATCTAGCTCAGATCCAACAAACTATCGTCCTATTAGTCTTCTTCCCAATCTCTCTAAAATTCTCGAAAAAATCGTTTTTTCCAAGATATATTCTCATTTGAATGGAAACAACTTACTTTCAGAAAAACAAAGTGGATATCGTCCGGGCCATAGCACACAAATTCAGCTCTTGTATCTAACTCACCAGCTATACTCTGCTCTAAACAAAAGTCAAAACTTTACAGCTATCTATCTTGACATCTCGAAATATTTTGATAAAATTTGGCATGATGGACTCCTTTTAAAATGCAAAATCGAGTGCAATATTTCCGGTTCTCTGCTAGCCTGGCTTAACTCTTACCTTACAGATCGCGAACAGGTTGTTCGTGTTGGAAACAGTCTATCATCATCCCAAAAAATACTATCCGGTTGCCCCCAGGGCTCGGTGCTTGGACCTCTTCTGGCCTTAATTTACCTCAACGATCTATCAAACAAGACCAAAAATGACGCTCTCTTTTACGCTGACGACACTTCACTTTACTCTTCCCATCCCCACGACAGTCAGGATCATAGACGCTCCTTGCAGAACGACCTGGACGAGATTAAACGATATGGGACTGACTGGGCCATCACCTTCAACGCTAAAAAGACACTACAACAGACATTTACAAACCGACGAGACAGCTGTCCTCCAGCACTCACATTTGACGGGCAGGACATACCGACCGTGACAAGTCATAAACATCTCGGACTGACACTCTCGACGGACCTTCACTTTCGCGCACACATCAATAACGTCATTCGGACAATTAACATTCTCCTAGGACCGATATATCCCGTGGCTAAGCTTCTTCCTAGACCAGTCTTGAACAACATTTACTCTACCTATATAACACCTCATTTCGACTATTGTGATATTGTTTACGACGGACATTTGACATCAACTGACGCCATCCGACTCCAGACGCTTCAGAACCGCTGTGCCAGACTTGTAACAGGGACGCTTTATCGAACACCAACTACCGCATTACTTACCGAACTAGGATGGGAACGACTTGAGACAAGACGATTAATTCATAAGCTTCTATTCTTTCACAGACTTTACTTCAATCATCCTCCTCTCCCTTCATACATTAAAGACATATTGACAGAAACCAGACAAGACGCCACGGGACTTAGACTTCGCAATGCTCAATCTCTTACTTTCCCCCCTACCAATCTCACTTCTTTCTATAGAGCCTTTTTCCCTTCGACAATAAGACTCTGGAATACTCTCCCAGACACATTGCGTAACACCTCATCCCGCTCCGCTTTTGCTCGTCAAGTCTGGCAGCGATTTGGGGCACCAGAGCCACCCACTTTCTTTTCTTTCGGCAACAAAACGCGTAACACACTACACACACGATTGAGAGTGGGCATGACGACTCTCAAGGCACACCTGTTCAATATACAGCACCCCAACACACCCAGCCCAGTATGTGCTTGCGGTTATCACGATGAGAACACAACTCACTTCATACTCTGGTGCCCACTTTACCATACACAAAGAGTAAAACTTATAAATGCAGTTCGAATCATCACTCCAAATTTTGACAATTTCTCAGCAAAATTAAAACTTGATACCCTTCTCTTTGCAAAAGACTTAAACAAGCATCAAGGCACACAAATCACCCATCACCTTCAGACATTTATTGTAGAGACAAATCGGTTTACCAATACAACATAACTGTTTAGTTAGTGCATTTAAGTACCATTGATATTAATGCAACACACTGCTTACATAACACTACACTACATTACAAAACACAAAACATGACACTATGACGCAAGCTGGCCCGATTGGAGTCGTCCGTCGCCTGGGGCCGGGTACTGTCTGCTTTTTTGGCTCGGCGGGTTTCGGGCGGGGTCGACGCTTTCTGATACTTTGGTTTGGTCATGTGTTCTTTGTTTAACTTAATTGGAGAGGCGCCTTTGATTTAAGCTTTTTGCTTTTGCGCCAATCCTCTATTGTTTTGTTCGTTGTTCTTGTTTACATATGGAAAAAATACAATGAACTGAACTGAACTGAACGGCCGAATGACGCGACTCTCCTCCCCCATCCCCGCTGCAGGGAGCCATTATCATCCATGAGGTGTACCCCGACAGCGCCGCCTCCAAGGATGGTCGCTTGAAGCCCGGTGACCAGCTGCTCGAAGTAAATAGCGAAAACTTCCAAGACGTCTCACACAACAAGGCTCTGGCGTTGCTGCGACAGACGCCGGCCAAGGTAAGGGCGAGCGGGTCGGGTCGGCAAGGTTTGCAACTTATTTCTGTCACTAGCCTTAGGCCAAAGTGTACGGGCGTTGCCAACGGGGTCGTTGGGGTCGCGACCTCCCCACTTTTGAAAACCGGGGGTGTCACCCCCCTGCACACACAGTTTTTGCGATGCTATGATTTTTTATACTATGTTCCATGCCAAGCTTGCGGTCGGATTTCCTTTGGCATTTTGCTCCTCCGTTCAATATTTTGCGTCTTTGAATGTAAGAGCTGCATATACAGAAATCACGCCAGGGCCTCCTCTAACATGTTAACTGGGGGGGGGGGCTGCTGCCCCCCCCCAGTGGAGCTGAAATCGCGTCACTGGGGGGGGGTACGCAGTTAAGCAAATCACTTAGAAAAACGAGGAAATTTCACTATAAGCTTACTCAACAAACAATCCAGACTATCTCCACGATCACCACGTTACTAATTTTAGTTTTCTTATATCGTTGCTTTCTTATCTACAGGTTTTTTTACAGATCCGCCTAGGATGAGCCGCGGAATGAGGTCAGACATTGCAGATTTTATAATCGAACGCTGACTGAAGCCCGAACGCGGCATCACTTTGAGAAGGAAACAGCCCGAACGGTAGCCCTGTATAGTCTCAATCAATCAAGCGCTTACGGTTCAACACGGAGAAGTATTATGTTGTTTTTTTTTTGGGGGGAGACGGTTTATTCTTGAAGAGGAAATTTTTCTACGGTCAAATAAGAGTGCGGCTGAGCTTTAGCACGTAAAAGTTTTCTCCCAGTGTTTGGGACTAGCAGCGATAAGCCCTCTCACTTATTGAGGGGTATGATAGACCCCACCCCTAGTTTTTTTGCAAATAACTCACATAAAAAGTTGCCCAGCGTGGCAAAAAATTTAGTAGTTTTTCTCGTGATTTCTTCAATTCTACACATTTCCTGAAAATGTAATTACCCTGTTCCCTGACCCTCATTCTCATTGATCTGTGGCCTGTTTCTTGAGTCATTTTCAGGCAAGTAGCTTTTTTAGGCAAGCGCCGACATTAGGAGGGTGAGCTGTTTTCATGCAGGTAGCTGTTGGTTTCTAGCGTTTGGGAAATCAATACCTAAGCCCTCACACTTTCTGCGGTCGCTTAGATTCCTTACGCACTGCTGAGCCGTTTAATACGTTTTAATAAAGGCATTTTGTTTCATTTTCGGAATGCCAGAAATTTTCGTCGTTTTCGGACGCTGCGGGGGATATTTACCCCAAATGTCACCCTGCCCGTGCCGGTCTGGATCCACCGGTATAGGGTCAAGTGCCAGGTGGCCTACTGTATCTTTATTTTTTTTTCAAAATAAAAATAAAAATCATGGCATCAGGGCTGTGACGAAAAATAAGTGGCCTAAGTCCGATGAAAAAACCGGATTTGGGGGTACTCTAGGTTTGGCTTCTGAGCCTCTGCCCCCCCCCCCTCCCAGTGAAAATTCCTTAGAGGAGGCCCTGAATCACGCACTGCTTTCAGCTAGGCACTTCGGCCGCAAGCTTGGAACGAAACAGAGTATAGCTATTATGTCAGTGAAGTGGCCTCCAGCATCAAAAGCACTCAGGACTCAAAAGCACTTTCTAGGACTGCATCAGATGATATCCCTGCCATCAGCTGTGAGCCGCGATGAGGTGTCAGCGCTGCCATTAGCAAACTGAAAAGTTCTCGAAGCTATTTAGTAGGGGAGAGTGGGGTAAGATGCCCAGGGTGGGAAAGACGCCCCATCACCTCTAGCGGCGAAACAAATAATCGAACCTGGAAATTAACGGTCTTAGCGTAAAGCGGAAGCCTGTCTTGTTAACTGCACACAAATTTGCGAAGCTCAGTTGGGCAATGGCTGGCTGGTGATTGCATGTTTTTTATTTGCTGCTTTCAAACAATATTTTGGTGTCAAAACATTGTAAATATCAAAGCAGGTAAATAATTTTTAGATCCCTTGCTATGGTCGTGATACATTAACATGCGTGTACTGTGTCCCGAACAGTTTGTTTCAGGGTGTAGCTTTATGGCTAACAAATTGTACTGATATAATGATACTTCGGTACCTTGGGGAAAGATGCCCCCTACCCTGATGGGGAAAGACGCCCCCTCCCTAAATCTGTAGGCTGTCCTTCAAGCAACCCGTCAAATCATTTATTACATACTTGTGATGAGAAAAAAATGTCGATCTGGGACTATTGAGAGTCCAGTACGGTCGGGTGCTCCCCCCATGCCGGTCTTTTTGGGCGGCATCTGACTCTGAGAGCCCTCACGACGGCCTCTGTGGGCCCCATTATTGGCTCCAAGGCCCCTCACGACCAGCGGCGTCACCACGGTTTCAGAACTTCTAGGGACACTTTTCCTGGGCGTCGCCACAAACCTTTGCTTGAGTCTGGTCGCTAATACCCAACTACCCCAAAATCTGCGTTCCTCGTTGGATTTCGGCCACTTAAGTTTCATTAACGAGGGAGAATCTATATTACTATTTGTTTGGGAAAAAACGAAGAAGTTACGCGGCAGTAGGCATATTTTTCAATCATGAAACGCGTGCCCACATCCAGTGGCGGTCGCAGGGGGGGGGGCATCAGGGCCATGCCCCCCCCAAAAGGCAAATCAGGGGGCCATCATATCATTTGCCCCCCCCAAACAACCGATGGGCCCCCATGGGCGTATGGGGCCCTGGCCCGTATTCGATTGTCACGAGGCTCGAGAAACCCACGCCAGCTCTTAACAGCTCCCATACCGGTGTTTGAGGGTCCTACACTGACCTCTGAGGGCCCTTCAGTGGCGGTCAAGCGCCCACATTGACCGCTGAGGACCCACGTTGACCTCTTAGGGCCCTCCACTGGCCTTTGCGGGCCCTTAAACCGGTCTCAGGGGCCCAACCGGCGGCTGAGGGCCTCACACAGGCTATGGTGGCCTCATTTCTGTCTCTAGATTAGCCTTTAATTGCCTCTGAGGGCCCCGCACTGTATTCTGAAGACCCGATATCGGCCACTAAGAGCCCGGATCGACATATGAGGGCCCCTCTTGGTCTTTGAGGGCCCTCAGCTGGTCTCTGGGGTCCAACGCCGGCCTATGCCGGTCTTTTAGGGCCACACACTGACCTCTAAGGGCCCCATGCTAGCCTGTAAGGACCCACATTAGCATCTGAGGCCCCCCGCACTGGATTCTGAAGACCCAATGTCAGCCTCCAAGGGCCCGCATCGGCCTCTGAGGGCCCATCTTGGCCTTTAAGGGCCCTCCGCTGGCCTCTGGGGTCCAACGCCAGCCCATGCCGGTCTTTTAGGGCCCCACACTGACCTCTGAGGGCCCTATGCTGGCTTGACACATAGTTATTAGCCTCTATGGGCCCCGCACTGGATTTTGAAGACCCGATGCCTGCCTCTAAGGGCCCGCATCGGCCTCTGAGGGCCCATCTTGGCCTTTGAGGGCCCTCTGCTGGCCTCTGGGGTTCAACGCCGGCCCATGCCAGTCTTTCAGGGCCCCATTCGGACCTCTGAGGGCCCATGCTGGGCTGTAAGGGCGCACATTAGCCTCTGAGGGCCCCGCACTGGATTCTGAACGCCCGATGCCGGCCTCTTAGGTCCCGCATCACCTTTGAGGGCCCATGTTTGGCCTTTGAGGCTGGCCTTTGGGGTCCAACGCCGACCCATGCCGGTCTTTTAGGGCCCCACGCTAACCTCTGAGGGCCCCATGCTGGCCTGTAAGGACCCACATTAGCATCTGAGTGCCCAAGTCGGTCTCTGATGGTCTCAAACTGCCCTTTGCAGGCCCTGTACTGGTCTCTGAGATCCCTAAACTGGCCTTTAAGGGCCCAATTAAAAACCGGCCTCTTAAGGTTCCACACCGGCCTCTGATGGTCCCATGTCTGTCTCTGGGACCCAAACTGACCCTATGTGCCTCTGAGGGCCCCGTACTGGCTTCTGAAGGATCGATGCCGGCTTTTGAGGACCCATACCGGTCTTTAAGGGCCTCATACAGACATCTGAGGCCCCACACTAGCCTCTGAGGTGCCCCAAACTGGCCTCTATATGCCCCCAACTGGGCAATGAGGTCTCTACACTGGCCACTGATGGCCCTATTATGTTCTATGGGGGCCCAAGACTTACCTTTGGGCGTCACGCACTTGCCTCTGAGGGCTCACATCAGCCTCTGGGGCCCCATCTGGGCCTTTGAGGCACTTCGCTGACCCTTGTGTCCAACGCCGGCCTCTGAGGGTCTGACACTGTACTCTAAGGACCACATTGCAGCCTCTATGCGATAGGTATCGCCGAAGCGTTATCGATGGGCCCATAAGTGTAGGAACCATGGCCTGGCCTGGGTGCAGTAGGTTCAGTAGCACCAACAATGATTCTCCAGTGGGTGCAGACAATGTATTCTGCACCCACAATAATCTGGAATAAAAACCCCTTTTCTCATCAACACTACTTTCGATGCAGCACGACAAATTCAGGATATTTTGCCCACTACTATTCATCTTTCGATGCATTTGCTACTGTGATGGTCTTCAAAACTTACATTTGTTCTCAAGTAAAAATAAGAAACGGATCACATATGATTGAACACATACCGATGACCCACTGTCAAGAGTTTTAGCACGATATCTTCGAAAATGGCTAAGTTAGCCGGTTTTACTTTTTGCGGTAGTCAATTCACAGTTGCGTGAATTATTGACATTACCAATGCTTCAAAATGAACTTACCTTTTCGACATGGGTACCAGTGGCGGCGCTTGGGTTAAAATTCAGGTGAGGCACTCGTATATGGACTTATAACTTTAGTATTGTATTGACTTTTGCCAGCACTCCACATACACCGGCGTGGCTATTCTGTGCCGATAGTCACAATATAAAAACAGGTAAAAGGCGGAATGGGTAAAACAGGCAAACATCAGGCACACGTGCACATCATAAAGCTTGCACTCCTATGCCCCCTCCCCCTCCCACTACATATCCCTATTACACTTAACCATCTTCACGGCACGTTTGAAAGAAA